GCTAACTGCTGGTCCCCCTGCTGGAACTTTCTGTCTCAGAAAGAAGAAGAAAATGGAATTTCTTCCATGACCGACAAGGCCTTCCTGATGTGGCCCTGTTAGCTCCCTGAGGGCACCCCCTGAGTCGGCCCCTCACTCTGGCCCCACAGTGTGAGCTGGCTGGCCCTCCCAGCTGGGCTCTCGCTTTCCGGTAACTGAGATTCATCCTTTACTCCGCGGGGTCTTCGCGGGCTCGTCTGTCTCTCTGTGAAGCTGGCAGCCTTCTCCCGGCCCCCAGCTCCCCCTCCTCCCTGCTTGCCTTCTCACACCTTTACACCGTCTGCGTGGTGGAAAACATGGCCCTCCTTTTTTGTAGTTACCCCTACCATCTAGGCTGGCCTTGTGACTTGTGTGACCAATGGGATGTGGCAAAAGTAGTGATGTCACAGCTCCAGGGCCTAGACCTCGAGACCTCACAGTCTCTGCCTTCGCTTTTGAGGAAACTGGCCTGAGGTCATTCTGCTTAGAGAAACCTGGAAAGAAAGACACCACAGAGGCCGGACCGCCCAGCCGAGCTCAGCTGCTTCCCGACCACCAGGTGGATACAGCCCCACGAGCGAGCCCAGGTGAGACCCACAGAGCTGCCCAGTGAAAGCGTGAGCGTAGTGAATGCATAGGCCGAGTAGACCCAGGACAGCACGCCAGGACAGTTCTGTGGGGGTTTGCCGGGACCTGGTGCTCAATCCCACTTTACTAACTCCCTTTTCTTTTCTTTTCTTTTTTTTTTTTTAACAGGTTTTTGCTATAGGTCGCATGCGCTTGCCAGAAAGACAGAGAGAGACAGAGAGACAGAAAGCGAGAAATCACCCCCCAGGGCAGATGGCCATGCCACAATCCTTTCTCCTCCATTCTCCTCTTGGGATCTTGGGCACGCACGCACACGCGCCCGGCGTGAGTTTAAGCCGCCGGGTCCAGGACTTGAACTGCGGTCGACTACATGGGAGTCCAGTGACATAGCCATTACGCTAACTGCTGGTCCCAATAAAATAATTCTTTAAAAAATAATAATAATTTTAAAAATTTAACTTTTAAAAATTCCTTCTCGGGAGACAAGACCTGAGGCTGAACTCGCGATCTGAACTCGCTGGGCTGCCCCGTGGGGTCAAGGAAACCCAGCGTTTGCCGGCAGAGCCGGTTCCCGGCAATAAAGTAGAACCAGGTGAGAGCAACGCCCACTATTTTCATGTGCTCATTGCTGGCCCCCAGGATTCCCCCTTTGAGGGACGGTCTTTTAAACTTTTAAACTACTGTTTCCAGAAGAATACCCAATGGCAGCCCCTAAAGCACGTCTCATGACCACAGTGTACCATCCTAATGCACACGAGCTGAGAAGAACATGCTTAGACGTGTTGGAAGGTAAGTGGCCCCGCAGTGCAGAGCCGCACAGCTCTGCTCGGTCCAGGCTTGGGGAAGTGCTCCCCGTCCCGATGACCCATTGGCGAACCATGCGGCAGAGCCCTGGAAGGCCCACGAAGCCCAGGCCGTAGACACGGCGCGAGCATGGGCCAGGCTATCCGCCACGAATAATATTTAAATCGGTCTGATCATCACGTGGGCATCGCTTCGGTTCTGCCAAGACTTCCTGTTTGCATTTAATGGACGCAGTCTTAGAAACACGACGGAATAAAAGCCCAGGCGTCTTCAGCCCTTTGGTGACTAAATGCACATTGGCAGGTCCATGTCTTGTCCTGACTCACTGCTGTGGAGCATGAGCCAGAGCCAGAATCCTCTGGATTCTGTGAAATGTTTAAAAGCGGTGGCCCCACCATGGCTTAAGTATAAAGCCCTGTGAATGGAGGAAGCTGGCAGGGTTAGCTGCAGGGGTGTGGGGGTTTTCTTTCTTTCTTTCTTTCTTTCTTTCTTTTTTTTTTTTTGAGGGGGGGGGGTGGTTTTATTTCAATTTTATGGGCTCCTTTCCCCCTTTCGAGGGTGATCTAATGGCTTTGGTTGAAAGCAGCTAGCCAGTTCTTTAGAAGATATTCCCTAGCCAAGTCTAACTTTATTTAGACGCTGTGGATGGACAAGCTCGGTTGATTAAAGAAACATCACAGCCCTCACTAATGACAGCGACATTGCTGGCAAGTGTAGACCCCTTCAAAAGAAGGGTGTGACCATTTTGAATGGCTTGTCTGGAAACGTCTATAAATCTTATGTTTTAGTAAAATATTTTTTGTTATTCTAAAAAAAAAAAAATTCCTTCTCTACTTCTTCTTTTGGGGATTTTAGGCATGCATGCATATACTCCTGCCATGTTTCTCAAGCTGCTGGGTCCAGGATTCAAACCACACAGTCGGCCACATGAGATCCAGCTGCCTCAACCACCAGACCATGGGCTGGTTCCCATAGCTTTTCATTAATCAGACAGTGAGTTGTTCACACAAGAGGGCCATGGTGCTATTAATTAGAAAACAAACTCCTCTTTTTATGAATGACAAAGCTCCAGTACAGATTAAATCTGTGCTATCCGTTGAATATGTGACTATTTTGAACTGAGATGTAAATATAAAATACGGACCAGATGCTGAAGACTCAAAACACAAAAAGAATGTACAATCCCCCCTTTCCCCTTTAAATCTATACCACGTTGAAATGGTAGTATTTTGGATCTGATGGGCTGACTAGAACTTAAGTTTAGTGCCAACCTCGCCTGTGTCCTTTCACTGTTTTTTGGAGGTTTTTTTTTGGAGAGGTTTTTGCTATAGGGCGCGTTCACTCTCCAGAAAGACAGAGACAGAGAGACAGAAAGCGAGAAATCACCCCCAGGACGCTGCAATCCCTTCTCCTCCGTTCTCCTCTTGGGATCTTGGGCCCGCATGCACATGCGCCCGGCGTGAGTTTAAGCCACCGGGTCCAGGACTTGAACCACAGCCAGACTACATGGGAGTTCGGCCAACTGCTGGTTCCCCTTTCACCGTTTTAGTGTGGCTACTATGAACAGAACGTTTGAAATGAGCAGGAGCTCTAGAGATTTCCATTGGACAGGGCTGGGTTCCGTGGTGACTCAGGGGTAGAAGAGCGTATCTGTCTATGAAATGAAGCAGTCCGTAGCCCGGTCATCAGTGAAGGCGGCTTCCCCAGGCACGAGGGTAAATCTCCACGTGTCAGCAGTTCTGCCTCCCTGGCACCTGCCCTGTCAGGCCACTGCCGTATTCGTAAGAGCCACGGAGAAAAGACATGTCCTCTCAGAAGAAACTCTCTGGTGGCATTCTGATGGCTCAGAAACGTGGGCCTGAGATAGCATGCCAAGAACAAGCCCCAACATTGGATTGGGGTCAGCAGGTGGCGTGGTGGTTAAGGGCGCTGCATTCCCACATGGTCGACCGTGGTATGAGTCCCGAACCTGGCGGCTTGCTTTCTTGCTTTCCCTTTCTCTCTCTTGGTCAAATTAATAGTAATAATAAAAACCAATGGAATTTCTTTAAAAAAATAAAAAAAGAAAAAGAATTCTAGAAAGTCGCCACATTTCCGGTGTGGGTTTCCAAGCAGCAGGCATGGTTTGAGCGGTGGGCCCCGTGCAGATCCCTGTCTCTGGGGCAGAGGCGGCCACTGGCAGCACAGCGTGCAAAGCCAAAGGTCGCCCTGAGCTCATTACATAATTCTGGAGGGTGTGAGGCCAAGTGCGTATTTGCTCAGGGGAATGGTCGGAGCTGACAGCAGACCAAGGCCGTCACGTCGGGGTTTTGACGAGGTGTGTGCTGAAGGCTGTTCGTTTGGAGAAAGACCAACGGGCTTCCCCCCATTCCGTCCTCTCTTCTTTCTCCCCCGTCTCCGTTTCTTTTCCTCCTGAGCACGCTGACCTAATACCGAATGGCTGTTTTCGAGCTGCCCCGGCCTTGCTTTGTGAGGAAAAAGCCCGAGTATTCTTCCCCTGCAGGACACAAGTTGTTATTTTTGGCACAGAGGCTCTTAGCCTGATCGCTGTCTAAATCAATTTCTGTTCTTGGCAAGGTCGTGCTCTGTGATGGCTCAGCGTGTCCTCCGTGGAGGGACTTTTCCTTGCTCCGTGAGGGGCGTGGGCAAGGATGAGGGGCCACACGTGGAACGTCCCTGCTCGGGGTCTCCTCACGACGGCACCTTGGCACCCAGAGTCTGCTCCATTGAGTCCTTGGAACCGTCACAGCCCCACGCCGTGGAGGGACGTGCATTCCATCTTTGGGGTCATGGAAAATGCTTGACTCGCTCAGAGCCCAGACACTCCAGGCCCACTCCCTTCGGCTCTCGAGGTCAGGGAGACGGCGTTGTCTGCTCCTGGTCCATCACGTTCGTTCTGGATGGAGAGGCCTCCCCGTCTTAACCACGGTACTGGGCCTGAGAGCCCTCAGAGCTGAGAAAGCCATGGCTGGGGTTCCCCCCTGCTATTCTGGGCACTGCTGACCTGGCAGCCGCAGCCCACTCTGACAGCTGGGCCTGGGGTCCCGGAGTGCTGGCAGGACTCAGAGCTCAGCTCACCCCTCTAACTGCTCTGTGCCTCAGGCCCCCCCGACACAGAAGGAAACCTCTCCAGCCCTCTTCTCCCTGCCCTGCTACTCCTGGAAGCTTCCATAGCCTGGGCCTGGTAGGAAGCTGCAAAATCAGAAGCAGGTTACAGTGCGACTGTCCCCACAAGCGAGACACCAGCTTCTTAGTCCCTTCTTTACAAGTTGGTGGCAGAACATTTAGGGAGAGGGGTGAGAAAGGCCCCCAAGAGGAAGGGCCGAGTGGGAGGCTGGCTCAGGGGCTGGCAGGGCCGCAGGAGCGTGACCTGGCAGGTGCGGCCGGCGGCTATACATAGCCAGCCGAAGCTTCTTAAGAGAAACCTCTTTCCGCACCCTGCGCGGTCCCACCCGGGCCGTGGCTGTAAATCCCTTGGCATACTTAACCTTCCATAGGGACCCAGCCAGCTGGCCACCGCAGCCCTACAGCGCCTGCCGGCTCTCCATCCTTCCTCCTAATATCCCCGGGGGCGCGCCCCGAGCGCAGCCATGGTCGACATGGGGGGCCTGGACAACCTGATCGCCAACACAGCCTACCTGCAGGCCAGGAAGACGTCAGAGAGTGACGCCAAGGAGCTGCAGCGGCGGCGCCGGAGCCTGGTGCTGCCCGGGCCGCAGAGCTGCGCCGAGCTACGCCGGGAGCTGTCCCCGCAGTTCCACAACCTGTGTGAGCAGCAGCCCATCGGCCGCCGGCTCTTCCGTGACTTCCTAGCCACGGTGCCCACGTATGGCGAGGCCGGGGCCTTCCTCGAGGACGTGCAGAACTGGGAACTGGCCGAGGATGGCCCCACCAAGAGCAGCACGCTGCAGGAGCTGGTGGCCACCTGCACGCGAGTCCCTGAACCCGGAAAACCACACCCCTTCCTCAGCCCGGCTCTGACCACCAAGTGCCAAGAAGCCACCACCGAGGAAGAGCGAGCGGCCGCGGTGGCACTGGCCAAGCAGGAGACGGTGGCCTTCCTCCAGGAGAAGCCCTTCCAGGACTTCCTGGCCAGCCCCTTCTACGACAAGTTCCTGCAGTGGAAAGCCTTCGAGATGCAACCCGTGTCCGAAAAGTACTTCAACGAGTTCCGAGTGCTGGGGAAGGGCGGTTTTGGGGAGGTAGGTGTCTGTGGGCAGCTAGGTGGGAAGGGAAAATAAGGGCCGCAAAGGGGGGATGGGTGGGTTGCCTCTTTTTATTTTTAAATAATTATTCACTTAATCTTAATTATTTATTCTTCTTCTGCAATTGGACCAGAGACAGATAGGGAGAGTGAAAAAGCAAGGCACCAGGTCTGGGACTCGAACCAGGGTTTGTCATGTGGGAGTCTAACGCCACCACACCACCTGCCAGTCCTGCATTTTGCCTTAAAAAAAGAAAGAAAGAAAGAAAGAAAGAAAAGCTTCAAGGTGGAGCAGCAGTGGCATGGTAGTTCAGGCAGCGAGCTCCTATACAGATGCCCGAAATCCTGAGAAGACGATGGAAGAGAAGGGGTTGCGGCATGGCCATTCCCCCACCCGTGTGTGTGTGGGGGCCTGCTTTCTCATTGTCCCTCTCTCTTCCTCCTCTCTCTCTGCAGCAAACACACATACAGGCCCCTGGAGAAAAAAAAAAAAAAAAAAAAAACCTCAGGGGAACTTACGTAGCACTACTCTCTAAGTTCTAGCACCAGGCAAGAGGTTCTCAGCTCACTCTCACCCCTTCTTTCCGGTCACCATGTGAGATAAAGCACAAATGGCTTCAGAGAGACGAGCACGGTGTGGACTGGCCAGCAGTCCACATCCCGGGTCCTCACCAGGCCCACGCTGCAACGCCCTGGACCCTGGGGAATGGCAGTGGCGGTGCGGGTGGGGGTGGGGGTCTCCTTTCCCCCTTAATTATGGTGATGGAGGTCATTTGAGAAAAATAGCTAAGAAAGTACTCATCTTGAAGTAGAGTTGAGACATGTTTTATACCGCTGGTGTGCCTAGCTCTTTCTTCTTTTAAATTAAAAAAAATTTTTTTTCATGGTAACATTTGCATAACATAAAATTGACCAGTAAGTATTTTATTTTATTTTATTTTTATTTTGAAAAAGAGAGATTTTTGCTAAAGGGCATGTGTGCTCAGTGGAGTGACAGAGAAAGAGAGAGAGAAAGCAAGAAATCACCCCCTAAGGGAGAATGGCCACACCACAATCCCTTCACCACTTTCTTCTCGGGATCTTGAGCACGCACGCACACGCACCCGGCGTGAGTTTCAAGCCACTGGGTCCGAGACTCAAACCACGGTCGACTACGTGGAAGTCCAGCAACGTAACCATTGCGCCACCTGCTGGTCCTGAGTAACTTGACCATATCTTGGTCCTCTACGCAGGTGCAAGGCATTTTCATCACCCCATACCCATGGCCAATCACTCCTGTTTCTCCTCCTCCAGGGCCTGGCCACCCCTGTCTGCTCTCTGTCTCTAGGGACTTGCCTGTTCCGGGGTTCTGTATTCCCGTGTCAGGAGTCTTCCCCTCGGCAGGCTGTTTGGGCGGGTCGTAGACCGTGCTCTTGCCTCGGTCAGTGCTTCATTTCCCTGCGTGGCTGGATCTGGGTCGAACTCCGTCATGTGCACACGCTACGTCTTGTCTGTCCGTACTTGCTGAGGGACTCTCGGGCGTCTCCGCCTTTGCTGTGGAGCCCAGGGCTGTGGTGAGGACCCACTTACGGCGTTGGTTGGACACCCTTCATCTCGCTCAGGCCTGTGTCTGGTATGGAAGGGCTGGGGCACGTGGAGAGCCTCTGCTTCACTTTCTGAGGAACTGCCAGACTCTTTTCCATTTTATTTTACTGCCAGCAATGCACAAGGGTTCTGATTTCTCCGCGTCCTTGCCAACACTTTTTTTCTCTTTTACTACAGGGCCCATGTGCTCACCAGAGAGAGACTGAGAGAAGGAAAGTGAAAAATCATCCCCAGTGGGGATGACCACACTGAAATCCCTTCTCCATTTTCTTCCTGGGATTTTGGGCACCTGGCATGATTTTCAAGCCACTGGGTCCAGGACTCGAACCCTAGTGTGGGACTTCAGTGCTTTAACTACCATGCCACGTGCCCTCCCTTATTTATTTATTTATTTATCTATTTAAAGAGGTTTTTGCCTTAGGGCACATGTGCTTGCCAGACAGAGAGAGGCCTGGGTCTAGGACTTGAACCAGGTCTACCATGTGAGAATCCAGTGATGTAACTACTATGCCATCTGCTGGTCCCCCTTCATTTTTTAATGGCCACCCTAGTGGAAATGAAGTGGTATTCCATTGTAGTCCTGGTTCTTTCCTTTTTTAAAAAAAGAATGATCTTTTATTCAACTCTATTTTAATTTGACCAGAAAGGGACAGAGAGAGAGAGGAGAGAGAGAGAGAGAAAGAAAGTGAGAAAGCAAGTTGCCAGGTCCAGGATTTGAACCATGGTGGGTCCTGTGGGAGTCCAGCACCCTTAACCACCATGCCACCTGCCGGCCCCCTGGTTCTTTCTTGAGAACTGGTCTCCCCTGCGGCTTCTCATTTCGCAGAAGCCTGCTGTCGTTACTCCTGGGCTGTTCCCACCCTCTCCTCTTCATCGTCCTCCCCTGCCATGCCAGCCCCCACCCCACCCTCCCACCTGTTTCCAGCGCCATCTGCATCCACCTCTCCCTCTCCCTCTCTCTCAAGGTGTGTGCAGTGCAGGTGAGAAACACAGGGAAGATGTATGCCTGTAAGAAACTGGACAAGAAGCGGCTGAAGAAGAAGAACGGCGAGAAGATGGCTCTCTTAGAGAAGGAGATCTTGGAGAGGGTGAACTGCCCTTTCATCGTCTCTCTGGCCTACGCCTTCGAAAGCAAGACCCACCTCTGCCTGGTCATGAGCCTGATGAACGGGGGAGACCTCAAGTACCACATCTACAACGTGGGCACGCGGGGCCTGGACATGAGCCGCGTGATCTTCTACTCGGCCCAGATCACCTGTGGGATGCTGCACCTCCACTCCCTGGGGATCGTCTACCGGGACATGAAGCCTGAGAACGTGCTTCTGGATGACCTCGGCAACTGCAGGCTCTCCGACCTAGGCCTGGCCGTGCAGGTGCAGGACGACAAGCCCATCAGCCAGAGGGTGAGTGGCTCTGCCCCTGCCCAGGGGCTGCAGGGAGAGAGGAGGGGGAGAGAACCCTGCTTTCCTGGTTCCTAAAGCCCTTATGTCGTCATCTGCCTTAAAAGGAATGGCCTAAGAGGATTAGCTTAATTGGCTCTTCGGTGCACTTTGCTTTCTTCTCACAGGGGGAGAGGGGAGCTTCCTTTGTGAGTTGGGGATAGTCTGAGCCTTCGTGGTGAGAACCAAGGAGCTGAATCTCAGTGGAGGTCCAAGGTCCGAGGTCCGGATGTGGCCCAGCAATGGCTTCCTCCATTGCCCTATTCTGGAGCCAGTAGAGCCTTGGCTTTCTCTTCTGGAAAATAAGGGGACTGGACCCTCAAACTCCATGATCTTAGGAAGTAAACTTTAATAGGATAAGACAAAGAAAGGCCAGCCTCGAAGCCTAGTGGTTCAGAGAGTAATACCTCACATAGCCAACCATGGTTCAAATCCCAGCCTGGCAACTTGAGAAACACATGCATGTGTGCATGCCTGCCCAAGGGCCCAACGGAGGGAAAAATGGAGGAGAAAGGGCTGTCATGTGAATGTGCCCCACTGGGGTCCTCTTCCCCACCTCATGATGAAGGCACACACCCCCTGGCAACTCAAAAGACAAAGCCCCTAACACTTAATATCATCACCAATCAAACATCTCCTGTCCTGGCGCGGAGGGGATATTTTACCTTGGAAGACAGTAAAGGCTTAGGTTTAAGGGTGAACATTTCAATATTTCAGTGGAAACGTAAAGAAGGGAGCAAGGCAGCAGATGTCTATTCTGATCAGTTTGGTTCAAAGCGACTTGCTGAGACATCTGTGGCTAAAAGTGGAATTATAATTAAGCAATTATGTGAAGAGAACAATATGGAATCTCTGGAATTCTAATGCCTCTCTTTTTTTTGTAAGATTTTTTAGAGATTTTTTGCTATAAGGCACTTGCAGTCACTGGAGAGATAAGACAGATAGAGAGAAAGTGAGAAATTCCACCCCCACCCCCACCCCGCCAGGATGGCCTTGCCACAATCCCTTCTCCTCCATTTTCCTCTTGGGATTTTGGGCATGACATACACGCACCTGGAGTTTTAAGCTGCCAGATCTGAGACTCGAACCACAGTCGACTACATGGGAGTCCAGGGACGTACCTATTATGCCATCTGCTGGTCCCTGGAATTCTAATAGGTCTTTATTACTAAGTTTCTGAATGTGAACATAGGAAGAGAAGGGTCCAAACCAGGTGCTTAAATGTTCATTTAAAATTTTATTTAGGGGGCCAGCAGGTGGCGTCGTGGTTAAGGTGCTGGACTCCCACATAGTCGACCACGGTTCAAGTCCTAGACTTGGTAGCTTGCTTTCTCTCTCTCTCTCTCTCTCTCTCTCTCTTGTGTGAACATACGCCATAGAGAAAAATAATAATACATTAAATTAAATAACTAATTCTTTTTTAAAAAAAAGTGAAACTGTTTAAAAAAATAAGTTTTATTTTTGCACACATTTCAACTTATAAGGCACAGTGAGTAACCAGACAAGGAAATTAGAAAATCGTGGCCAGTCTCAGAAACTCCAAGCGACTTCATGTGGGTATAGTAGAAGGGACATTGGCAAAATGTCCAGAGCCTGGCCGTGACCAAGGGCTGGAAGGTCTTCTTGTGGAGGTCGGGAGCACGTGAAGGTTTTAAAAACAATGATGTGATGAGCTTTGCGTTTTGAATAGACCAAAACAGCAACAGTGTGGAAGGGAGGCAGGAGGCAGGAGGCAAGGCCGGAGGTGATGCAGTGGCCCAGATAAGACGTGGCAGGGGTCTGTGTCAGACAGGGGGACCAAAGAAGTGGGAGCAAATTGGACCTATTAGAAAGAGCTCTGGTGGGACCTGGGAACCAGCTGGGCGTGACAGTCGGGAGAATGAGGGCCTCGGTTCCAGCGACCAGGAGGAGGAGCAGAATCGTGGCAAGTTCAGTGGGACTGCGTGATCTCAGGGTCATCGTGGACTAGGTGGACAGAGGGGTCCGGTGGGCATTTAGAGCCACGGGTGTTGGCTCCACATGGGGATGGGCACATGACAGCCCAGGAAGCACAGGTACCACGGAGTCACCTGGGAAACAGTGAAGGAAGAAGACTGGGGAACAGATCTGGGAACGCCAACACGGAGGGAACGTGGGGAAAAAGAACCTGAGAAGTTTTAGGGTGTCGGAGCAGAAGCAGGAGCTAAGGGTGAGGTTCAGCTGCATAGCATCGAAAACCCGAATAACAATGCATATGGATTACACAAGGCAGGAAGTGATTTTCTTTTCTTTTCTTTCTTTTTTTTTTGAGAGTTTTTTTGCTATAGGATGTGTGTGCTTGCCAGAAAGACAGAGAGAGACAGGGAAACAGAAAGCGAGAAATCTCCCCCCAGGGGGCGGAGGATGGCCCCACCACAATCTCTTCTTGTCTACCCTCCTCTCGGGATTTTAGGCACGCATGCATATGTGCCCAGCGTGCGTTTTAGCCGCTGGGTTCAGGACTTGAACTGCTCTTGTCTATGTGGGAGTCCGGCAATGTAACCATTACTCCACCTGCTGGTCCTGGGAATTGATTTTCTTATATAACAAACTGTGGAGATAGTAGTGACCGGCACTAGTTCAGCAGCTGCAGGATGATGGGATGCAAATCTCTGTCATTTTGTCCTTGTGCATTACAAGATGGCCATGGGGCTAGCAGGTGGCATGGTGGTTAAGGCGCTGGACTCCCACATGGCCGACTGCTATTCAAGTCCCAGACCTGGTGCTTTGCTTTCTCTCTTTCTCTCTTTCTGTCTATTGTGAGTGCATGTGCCCTACAACAAATTAAATAACAACAACAATAATAACAAATACAATTAAATACATAGTTATTTTTTTAAAAAATAAAGTCATCGCATTTAAAAAAAAAAAAAAGGTGGCTGCTCTAGCCCCAGCCATCAGGACCATGTTCCCGGCAGGAGGCGGGAGGAAGGGTCGGAGTAGCAGGCGGCGTGTGGCAGCTGGCTGGCTCCATGAAGGAGCTCCCCTGGAAGCCCCGTCCAGCATCTCCCACTTAGATCTCCTTGGCCACGATTTCCCCTACCCGCAGGGAAGGTGAGTAAGTGACATTTTTCTTCGTTGGTTTATTTATTCTTGAAGGCAGGAGGGGCCTGACCTAGTGAGTCAGGAGAAAGAAAGGCTGGACGTTGAGCAGGTGACTGCCGGCCTCTGCCACAGGAGCAGGGAGAGGCTCCCGGGAGCAGAGTGTGGTCAGAGGTGCAGACTGCGACCAAGAGCGGGACTTCGCACAGGACACCGCGGTGTCCTCAGCAAGACTCGCTTTCCAGTATGGGGCTTGGATTATCTAGAAGCAGGGAGAGAGACCAGGGGAGGCAGAAGACTGTTCCTTAGAGGGGGACACAGGTAGGAGAATGACGTTTTAAGTTAGGGAAGATGGAGCCAGTTTAGGTGCTAAGAGCCAGCAGAGAAGGTGCGGGTCCTGCAGGAAGGGCAGAGGTGAAAATGGAGCCGGAGAAAGAACCTGAGGAGCGCGGTCTCCTAAGTGGTGGGGCGGGTCGGAGTGCTTGGCTCCTGGGATCTGTCTACAGCAATAGCAGTGCTGTAAGTCTGGACCTGCCACACGCACGCGCGCACACACACACACACACACACACACACACACACACACACACCCATAACTGAAGGGCATTACTTTGTGCTTTTAAATTTGTATCGTCGATTACGCCGAGTCGGAGTGTCGTTCTGAGCACCCTCTAGACGTGGCTCAGATTCGTCGTTGCTTTATCCACCTCGCGGGGGCTCAGGAGACAACACCCCGTGGTCTCTGTCCAGGCGCTCCTCTCAGGCTGCCTCTGGCTCTGTTCACGGGGCAGGAGGGTAGAGGCAGTTCCCTTGACGGCTCTCCCAGCTCTCCAGCTCTTTTGGAACTGCAGGAAACCTTCTGTGCCTCCTCCACACTGCCCAAGGTCACCATTGTACTTAGTGGGGAGACTTGCCGCCCGGAGACCTTTGTCCCTGTTACCTCTGTGTTCTTCTCTGTCCCGTGAGATCCGACTTCAGGATTTAAACCAGTTGCCCCATTCAAGAAGTTTCCACTGAAGCCCAGGGGATCAGCAGGA